TTTTTTTCTTTTCTCTCTCTCTCTCGCTGTCGGTTGACCCGGACTTGTTAGTGTACCTTGCAACGTGGATTCCTTCCTCCCACCCCTCGTAACTACTCTCTTCTCCGCTCTTTCTTTATCTCTCTCTCTCTCTCTCTCTCTCTCTGTGTGTGTGTGTGTGTGTGTGTGCGTTGATGCATGAATGCGGGTGTCTACCGCGCTCTTGCGGCTGACTGGTGACTCACGGCTCTCAGCATTAGGCTTGTTGCGGGTGTTGAGGAAAGCAGCTGAAGGCACCTGGACGGTTGCACACGCGACGGACGGAAAAGCTGCTTATTTGTTGTGGCCTCTGAAGATGGAGGGGCCTGTGAAAGCGGATCGTGTGCCTGACCCTGACAGGTACAATGGCGGTGATAATGGAGATGTCCAATGCAAAGAGGGCACTGCCACCAAGCCACTGTTTCCATCTTCAAATCTTTTCTTTTTCCACAACCTTTAACCGGCTTTGCGACCGAGTGCAGAATTCCTTCTCTAGTAAATCCTTTCATTCGCCCCGGTGATGGGATACAGGGAGATTGCGTTTATTGAAGGTGAAACGAGACAGTGTCACCCACGTCATTGTGTCGGACAAAAACACCTGTACGACGCGGGGTATTGTCTTTGCGTGTGTAATGATGAAAGGCAGAGGAAGAGGTCTTTCTCATGCCGGTGGTGGCGCCTTTGGCCTACGTCACTGAGCAGGTGGAATTGGAAACATCACCTGATATTCTGCCACTTGAGGGGATGGCCTTCCGCACGGCGGAAGAGCATGTTTTTGCTGGGGTCAAACACTCTCACACCCGAAGGGCTTGACAAGTTGGTTGAGGAGCACGCGGAAAAGGAGTTGGTGGGATATCTGAGTAGGTTGCGCGCGATGCATCCAGCCCCGCTGCCAACGTTTGCACTACCGCCGCCAAAGCCTCAATGCGAAGGCCAGCGACCCCGTTGAGTGGCGACACTTGAGGTGTCATTTTTCGTGGGGTGGTTTGCCGGCTGGCGTAGTGTCTCCCTCTCGCTTGGCCTCTGCGAGAGGTCTGTCAGAGATGCTGTCACAGCTGCGTACTCGTACAATTTTGCACATGTCGTGTCCCCGCTCTTCACGAACTGCACTGAGGCAAATAAATGATACGTTTTTTTCACACCCACACGCGCCAGACCGTGTGCATGGGTCTCACAATATAATGCCTTCAAAGAAGCGCTTGAGTTCAGCAGAGCGACGATTGATAACGCGATCGTCGGTGCTGGGTAGAAGCGAGCAGTAGGAGCTGCACCACCTTTCTCTATGCCCCAGCTGAGTAGTTTGTGAGGGTGTCTACTTGCTGGGGTTTTGCTCTCCGTCGTTTCTTTCTCTCTGCCTGCATGACATGACAACATGCCGAAGGAAGTGGCTGGCGTTGTTTGCTTGGTGCTTTCTTTGCTCCCTTCTAGAGAGGGGGTGTCGATCTTATTTATTGCCTGCGTGTGTGCGTGCTGCGCCCATTCCATGGTTGCTTTTGTTTGCGTTCTGCCATTTGCACGTGTATGTGTTTCTGCAGCTGTTGCAGTAACAATTCCACATGAGTCTCCTTTGCAGGGGCCAACTCAGCTGTTGCACGCACGCATTTTTCTGAAGTTCTCGCTTTGCATGTATTTCTTTTCCACCCTCACCTGCATTTGTCAGCAACAGCAGCAGCAGCAGCAGTAGCAGCAGGGGACGACGTAGCTGGCAAACTGAAAGAGCATCTCTCATGGCCGGAAGCTCTGCCGAAGAAGCTGTCGCTTTGATGAAGAGCGCTGAAAAGCACTCACAAAAGAAATTGTTTAGGCAACCCGACTGGGACACGGCGGCGAGTGAATACGAGAAGGCTGCAAAGATATACGCCTTCTTAGAGGACACGGTTAGGGCGTGCGACGCCTGGCGTAAGGCGTCTGAGATGCACCAAAAGGCCAAAAACAAATTCTTTGCGGCACGTACGATGGAGAGTATTGCCATATTCCTGGGGGAGCAGGCACGGAAGGGTATTGTAGGTGATGCATCCCTCCTTAAAAGTGCAGTTGAGGCCTACTTTGAAGCGTCTAAGCTCTACGCGCTTAACGACATGTTTGAAAGGCAGTCGGGCTCGTTGAAGAAAGCTGCTGAGCTTCTCAACCTGGGAATAGGTGTGGCGCGTGCGGCTGAAACAGAGGTGGACAGAGCGGAACTGCAGCAGCAACACCAGCAAAGAGTGCAGCAGGTAATTGGTTTTTTCCGTGAGGGGGTGAACGTGCTGGAGGAACACATTGAGGATAAACCGGTTGTTGCGGTCCAGCTGCCTGAGCTGTACCACAGTTGGATGTTGGTGCACCTCCACAACGGTGACGTGAGAGGCGCCGTGGAGGTGTTGGAGCAACAACTTGGCATCAGCACAGATCCTCGCAAGAAGGGTGTCTTTGAGTGGCTTGTCCAGCCGCACAAATCTGCAAAGGTTGGATTAGAAATTATTGTTTTGTGTCTTTCCTGCGGAGACGAGGTGTGGGCGCGACAGGAGATGAGTAAACTGCGGGGTGTCACCGGTTTCAGTACATCAAAGGAGGAGAAAGCCGCAAGCGCACTCATCTCCTCCTTTGAGGACCGCGATGAAGAGCAGCTGGAGACCGCTGTAAAGGATCAGACGTTGCAGTTCATCACCGCTGACATCTCAAGGATTGCAAGGAAACTAAAGCTTCGATTCAGTGCGCCGCAAGGGAATGACCTGGTGGCGTCCTCGTCTTCGTCTTTGCTGCAGCATCAACCACCAGGTGAACAGCGGCTGGGGCAGCAGCAGCTGGAGGTTGAGCTTGATTCAGAGGAAGATATACGATAGCTCGGAGTGGAGTGGAGTGAGGTTAGGTTGTGGTAAGGCCTGCAGTCTGTGCTGTGTGTGTGTTGTTTTTTTTTTTTGGGTGGGTGGGGAGGGGTGCAGGTGCGGTTGTTACAGGGCGTCACGTGTGAATAGTAAAGCTGTGTTTTGGTTACTGTCGCTGTTGTGCGGTTGTTATTTTATTTATTTATTTTACCGTCCCACACAGGCCGAGGTGGTGTGTCTGCATGCGAGCACTCTCTTTTTTCTCCTCCTCTTTCTATCCCTGTGCGTCTCCTGAGAATGCGTCCGTGTTTGTTTGGTTTCAAGGTGGGAAGGGAATAAACAAGAAGCGGCGTGTACACACATTTGTTACGTGCAAGAGGGGAGGAAGACGCAAAAGCAAAGAGAGAAAAAAAGGACGAGGACGAGGACGAGAGGATGCGCAGAGTGAAGGAGGGGGGAAAGCAGGATGTCGCTGGTTCGTCAGCACAAGTGCTGGTTCATGAAATGGGGCCAGGCCTCCTCCGCAGGGCCTCACCAAAGCAAAGGCGTCGTTCAACGAGAGGGGTTTCCGACACCGCGGAGCTTACGGTGAGTTGTGCCATGAGTGAAGTGTTGAACAGCGGCTTGCATGGCAACTGCCCCACGTTGGATGCCCAACTGTACCTTCGGCGCCGTGTTGCGGAAATTGTGCGGCAAATAGAGAGCGCCAGCAGTGCCCATCACTTCTACCGTCACGTAGTGGAGATAGATGAACTTCTGCGCTGCGATGCACCAATGGGGTTTACGCCATCCATGGTTCTTGCGGGGGTGCCGGATATTCTCTACATGCTGTCCGATGCCGTGAAGCAAGGGTATCTGCTCTACCCCACGGAAGTGGACACCGGAACCGTGCAGGCACTTACCCCGCTGCGTCGAAATCCCGTCAATTCGGCGTCGATAGCGCCATCAGCAGCTGCGATGCCGTTGGCTGTCCTGACGCGTACCTCTGTGGGCTCTCTCGCTGCACAGACGGGAGAACGAGAGGAAAGAATTATGCACCGATCCTGCACAAGTTCCAAAATTGGCGCACAAACAAGAATGAAGAGTGGCACGGGTATTGGTGAAGTCACTACCGCCGATCTGAGGTCCTTCCTGCCACCGCTGGTGCGCCGTCCTGCGCCCCCACCATCAACGGAGTCGTTGCAGGGAAAGGCAGAGGGTGAGGTTTCCATTTCTGCAGGACCAGACGCCCGTCACCGCAACACAGCACGGATGCAATCACAATATAGATCGGCCTCTGGGACAACAACTGGAAAGGCGCGAATGGGCGAGAAGCCATTGCTCCCACGCGCACGAGGAGGTGCAAGGATGAACTCTGTTGGCACTGACGCCGTGCATTCTTCACAGTCTCAGCTCTGCATGGCTACGTCAGTTATGAAGCAGCAAGAACAACAGAAACCAATGGTGTGGGGTGAGAAGGAGACGTATGATGTTGCTTTCTCTCCGCCTCCACCCATACTCCGCGATATTCCGTCGGCGTTGCAGGCCCTCTTGTACCACTGTGCGCTTCCACTTGTTTGCCTAACACTGGACGATCAACATCAGCGCACCACTGCGATTCGCCTGCTGGCTTCTGCGATGGCGTCTATTCTGCGTGTCACGCCAGACTGTGTTCACGTGAAACCAATACCAGATCAAACTGACGAAGCGGATGTTGCCAGCAACAACGACAAAGTTGTTTCTGGCGAGGAGAATGGAGTGAAGTGGGACGCTTCAGCGGTGCAGTTTAAAGAAATTTTGTATCGCATTCGTCACGCAGCACTCACGTCGCTTAATGTTCTCATGACGCACGTTGATGCAGAGGAGTTGAAGTGTGTGAATCAGCACTTCGCGTCGCGCGATAAAAGAACGTACGAGGCGACTGATGTTGCGATGTTGCCACATGTATTATCATGGAGGGAACGCAATCGTGAGGAGACCACAACCGATCAGGTGACTGAGAGTCAGGTATCTGCGACGAAATTGTCATCGACGCCAGCTGGACCAAAAACAGGTCATGTAGTCCGCCTAACACGCTCTCACTTGAATGCATCATGGAACTTGCCGCGCAAAGAACGCCGTCACCGTACAGTGCCGGTAAGTCTTCATAATTGCGCTGTTGCCGTGGATGTTTTTCGGCCCCTTATAGAGCGTTGGACAGCCATTCTACGTTACGGCGTGGTGGCGAATGCGTTGCTGGACTCCTCTCGTCAGCTATTTCATCACCCGGCCCTCGTGACGGCGGGAGTCATGGAAAAAAAGGAGTATGAAAACGGTGCCACGGTGGTGATTCTACCGACGGCGTCTGACGCTGATATAAGCCCCTACTCCAAGAGGAAAGAGGGGGGTTCGAGCCTTTCCGTCTCTAAAATACGCATGGAGGAGGAAGATGCTGGGGAAATTTACTTGTTGTTGAGGGCTTGTTTACACTTATCTACGTACAAACAGCATGCGCGTTGTCTTATCGCGCCTGACGACAGCTCGGGCGCCGCGTACACCAGTTTTCCCGTCCTTCTTTGCTTAACAATGGCTCGGTGTGCGGAGGGAGACAGGTGCCTCGCGCTGTGTGTGGAGTGTCTGTGGAACCTCCTGGAGGTGGTCCCGGAGGAAACAGTTGCGGCTATTTTACGACACCGTGTGCAGGCTGCTGAGAGGAAGCACTATGAAAAAGAGCGAACACTTTCGTCCTTGTCAGCCAGCGAGTCCCTGCTGTACTGTTTTCTCCAGGTTTTACTCACAGGGCATCGGCGGCGTCATCGGGAGTTGCGCAACGATATGGTGGTGCTGTTTATGATGATCCTGAGGAGTGACACGGCAGTACTTCGCAAGCAGCAAGAGGTACTGCAACACTCCGCGGACGCTGCGGCGTACACACCACTGCCACCATCAGCGATTTGCGCCATTAACGCCCTTGTGACAACGGTCTTTGATATGGTGTGTGGTCCAGAGTTACGTGAGAACGGGAAGATGGCCCAAATGATACAACGACCTGTGGAGACGTTTTTGCGTTACCACACCGTGCTTTCACCTACAACGCGTGTGGAAAATGTACAGTTTAAGCTGCTTGGATGGCGCATGTTAGAGGCCTTTTATGAATGGCAAAATGCTCGTCTCACTGTGGAATATCTTTCCCGCGACCATAGGCCTTTGACCAGAGATACACCTCTTGTCGACACTATTGATGATTACGGTGTTGGAGATGAATACAAGGATGGGGGCAACACGTTGATCTTTGATTTGTGTTATCATGGTTTTATACATGTGCTGCTGCTTTACGTGGATACAATATGCAGCGAAGAGCCTGTCGTAGCCTGGTCGCGTGAGGAGTTGTTGATGTTGCAGGAAGAGGCCTGGTTTGTTCTCCTTGGATTGATGGAATCTGCTGTGGCTGCACCCCCTGCCTCGCTCCAAGATGAAATGGGAAGGAGCGAACTGTCGGCGCAGTTTCTTTCCACGAGCGCCGAAAACAGCACGCTCGACGAAAGCGTAATAGCGAAGTTGCCGCTAGTGAAGGCGGACACCCAATTTGTTGCAGCCAATGGCATTCTGTGTGCCGTGCGTTACATCTGTGAGGTCACCACGAGGGACGCGGAGGCGCTGGTGTGCCTTGCAGTGCGGGTGCTTTCCGTCTTGAGTCGCTGCCCCGCACACCGGCCTGCGCTCCTCACCGCGAGCATGTTGACTTTCTCATCGGCGTCGTCGTTCACTGAAAGCGTCCCTTTGCTTCTGGAGGTTGCGGTGCATGTTCTCCTGAGCTTTATGGAGAGAGCTTTGCCAGCGGTGGCGTTGCCATCTTTACTTGCGTCATCGAAGGTCTGCAAAGGTGCCAGCAGTTCGATGCCTTCACACTACAACTTTTATGCAGATGCAACTGGATCGACGCTGAGTGGCGTTGCTAACGGTCGATCATTAATGCAAAGTAAAGCCATGACTGAGACCCCGCGGCGCTGTGCGGAGGCAGTGAGGGAAACCCCATCCACTATCGCAGGCTTCAGCACCACCCCAGAAGGCAACTGGGGTGAAAAGGCATACTTCAAGGCAGCTGAAGTGGATGTCGTGGTTCATTGTCTCTTGTTGTTGAATAACATCGTTGACGGTGATCCTGTTGATGCTTTGGCGACGCAACAAGCTTTTATCTCGTTGAATGGTGTATCGCTTCTTCTTTTCTTGGCGAGGGCTTCGTTGGCGGTGTTGCCCTCCGCTTCTTCCCCTTATTCTTCCATGGTGGATGGAGGCCGCAGTGAGCTGCTCTTGGCCGTGCTCAGCTGCTTTCGCACCTTCATACTCGGCAATGCAGTGGCCCAGGCACAGTTTGTGCATGAGGATGGCGTTCATGTGCTGCTTTCTATTATTGCTGTCCTCGTGGGTTGGTGGGAGCATGCGGCTCTGAAGGGCCCCAAAGCAATAACCACTGGCGACAACTCACCGCTTACCCCAACGCTGACCTTTCTTGCTGACATTCTGTACGAGAGTGAGGAGGCGCAGGAGGCATTTCTGCAATGGTCCACGTATGACATGCAGAAACCAAATGGCATGGAAGATGATGACTGCACAAACGCGACGCAGCTTCTGCTACGCCTCTGGGAGGAGGGAGAGGAGGAGAAAGAGGAAGAGGAGGGGGACCTAGAGGGCATTGCCGCGACCACCCCACTGCATAGGGCGATGGCTCGGGGAGCTGCCACACAAGACAATGATGCACCTAACATCCAGAACGCGGAAGAAAAGGTAGTGACGGATGCAAAAGAGGATGAGGAGGAGGAGGAGAAGCGGGTGCCAAAAGACGCCACAGGAGGCCTAGATGATTTGTCGAGTGACATTGGCTCAGATGGTGGTGCCTACACCAAAACTTCGGAGGCTCCAATCCTCCATCCCGACCGGTGGGGTCTGGGTCTCATTGGAATCCACGATCGCGAATCGCTCAAGGCAGAACTTCTGAATCGTTACAGTGAGTTGGAAGGCGCCAATGTGGAGGTGTCTGAAAGTACGAGCGCAACCGATGCGACGACGCTGCGGGCGCGGCGACGGTTGTCAGCAGCCCTGCACCGTGTGCTTGGGTTGCGCGCGAAGGTATACGCTTGTTTTGATGCTGTTGGTTTTCATCGTATTATCAATGTAAAAACGAGTGCCATGGAACGAGTGAAGCTGTTGCACGCTGCCGCTTTGCCATCCTTATGTGAAGATGAAGTATGGGCTGCTGTGTCTGAAGCAGTGGACTTGCATGACCAGGTTGTGATTATATCACGCCCGAAAGGTAGCAAGAAGCAGGTTTCCGATGAAGTTGAAGTCGCGTCGAGACCCCCGTTGGTAGTGAATCCTATCATTCCAGATGCCGACCAGCTTGTGCGGGTGTTAGTCGACGTGGAGGCGCGTACGACGGAGCTGCAAAATCTTTCGCAGCTGTGTCTTGACATGTACGCCGCGCACAAGGAGGAGGCGACACAACAATTTTTGCTCTCACGACTGCGGCAAGGCGCTGATGACACCAAAGTCTTGGCTCTTGTGCAGCAGGCACGCAGACGCTTCGATCCCATCGGCAACAAGAGCACGGGGAGTATCTTTGATCACGTTATGTCCCGTGTTGAGCGGCCTGGCATGGAACACGTCGAGTTAGTGTCTGCCTTTTCGCGTACGCCGGAAGGAACAGGGACTGTGGGTAACCGAAGGCTCTCGACGTCACGGCTGACGTTGTTGCAGAAGAAACGGAAACGAGAAGTCATGATAAAGAGCAGTTACCGAAAAAGCTAACTTGTTCACAGGCAAACGTAAACCTTTGTTTGTAGTTGCGGCTCCAGGAGTGAGGATCAATTATCGCGTTGCTGTCGCCACAGTAAAGTATGCATATATATATATTAAAAGCAAAAGGAAGACAGAGAGAGAGAAGATGATGTCGGGTGGGAGCTGACACAATGAAATGTATAGCAACGTATTAGATGCGTGTATAGTCCATAGTCCTATGGAGATGATACTACGAGGCGTATATATATATATATATATATACGTACACCCTGCAAAAAGGAGTATATGTGTGGATGGATGGAAGCATTGAAGGGTAGAAGGGACTTGACGCTTCTAGTTGGCATTTGATTTTAATCTCAAAGTACTCATATCTTCATCTCTCTCTCTCTCTCTCTTTCTCTTTATGTCGGGAGGAGGAGAGCAGATGATTGGGATTTGGCACTTAGGCCCTGTTTTTTTTTTTGTTCTTACCTGTGTGGTGTGCTTTAGTGTCTAATCCCACGATGACCTCCTTCTCTTCATAACTTCTTGTGGGTGTCTTGGGCTGTGAGGGACCGAGGCGACGTTGTAAGGGGCCTTGCAGTGGTGGAAGTGGCGGGGCCTTATGCGGGTGGGATTTTGCTCGCTTGTGCAGCCACTAAAGCGGCGTCTAGGCAGCGTCAGCAGCTCTTCCCGGCACTCACTGCGCTGGTGTGCCACGTCATCATCTTCGTTGAACATCAGCGCTTTCGAAACGGCTGCGAATACGGCTGAAAATGCTGCTGCAGATGCCACCAGGTCTGTTTCTGCCTCGTCTTTGTTGAAGTACACCATTGAACCCTCCGCAGCAACGATGGGTGCACCACGACCGTTGCATGATGAGAGGGCGTGTCACACTCTTGCCATGCTTGCCTCCTTCCCACCATCGAGGATTCGAAACTTTGCCGTTGTTGCACACGTGGATCACGGCAAGACGACACTGAGCGATGCAGTTCTGCGCCGCACCGGTGTGCTGAGTGGGTCACAGGTGGGGACGTATACGGATCGGCTTCTGGTGGAGCGTCAACGGGGTATAACTGTCAAGGCGCAGACCTGCTCTATTTTTGTTGTACACAATGGGGAGGAGTTCCTACTCAATCTTATCGACACTCCTGGGCACGTGGACTTTCAGTACGAAGTCTCACGAAGCTTAAGTGCCTCGGAGGCGGCACTGTTGCTCGTTGATGTTGCTCAGGGCATCGAGGCTCAAACGATGGCACACTTCCATACGGCGCTAGAGCGGGGTTTGACCATCATTCCTGTATTCACCAAAATGGACACTGTGCTCAGTGATGTGCCAGTTGATCGTGCGCTGCAGGAACTGGAGGATTCAACAGGTTTGCTGCGCCGTGAGGTGGTCTTTACAAGCGCAAAGGAGCAGCTTGGGGTGGAGGGACTTCTTCGCACCATTGTTGAACGCGTACCCCCACCAGTTGGCCTGGTGGGACTTTCTGACCTGCGTCAACTCCCGCCGCTTCTGCCAGGCAGCGCGGAGCGCACTGCGATGGAGAAGAAGATGGTGCCGCTGCGTGCCTTGTTGTTTGACTCGTGGACCTCCGAGTGTGGTGGGGGTCTGCGCCGGGCGGCGCCGCGAGGCGGTGACAAGGGCAATAGCAGCGACTGCAGTGACGGCAATGTGACGTGTCTTATTCGTGTCATTGACGGGACACTGACAGCCAAAACTGTGGTGTTGTTTTACCACTCGCATAGGCGGTGTGAGGCGCTGGAGGTGGGCATCATTCATCCCGAGCTCCGCCCCACGACGGCGCTCACGGCAGGCATGGTGGGCTACGTCACCTTTTCAAAGTTGAGTCGTGAGGACTTTTCTGTGGGTGAGACGCTTTACACGCTACCTACTCGTACGTTTACACGGGAGAGTATTGTTCCAGTAACCGGATTTAAGCGGGTGCACCCGGTGGTTTTTGCTGGGTTTTACCCGGACGAAGGGGAATACATTACTCAGTTGCGGGAGGCAGTAGAAAAGCTGCGCGTTAATGAGCCAGCTGTCACGATGGAGCCATTAGATTGCCCTGCGCTAGGGGCTGGGCTGCAGCTTGGATTTCTTGGCATGCTACACATGCAGGTGTTTCAAGAACGTCTTCTCGCGGAGTTTGGTCAACGAGTTCTCGTGACACCGCCACTAGTGCAGTACAAATATCGCGAGGTGGGCGTGGATGCGGAAGCACCATTGAAACCTTTGACCGTGCATAGCTGGAGGTGGTTGCACGAAGGCGTGTCATGCTACTTGGAACCGTACGTTACTGTTACTATTATTACGCCGCGGGAGCACTTCCAGGGGATTGATAGTGAGGCACTGCAACAGTTTCGCGGGGAGCAGCTAGATATGCGCGTGCTGGATGACGCACGGATTCTCGTGCGGTACAAGATGCCCTTGGCCGATCTTGTTCGTGGATTCTTTGACGTGGTCAGAAGTGTCTCACACGGCTATGCCTCGCTTGACTATGATGACCCCGTCTACGAGGAGGCGGACCTTGTGAAGGTGGAGGTGGCTGTTCAGAAGTCACGTGTATCTGCTCTCTCTGTCATCTGCCCGAGGTCGGAGGCCTCTGCCGTTGGTAAGCGTATTGTTTCAAGCCTCAAATCCAATCTTACACGCGGCGCCGTTGACATCCCGCTGCAGGCAATGGTGGGGGCAAAGATTATCGCCCGTGAAACGGTGAGGGCGTACCGCAAGGATGTTACGGCAAAAATTCACGCAGGTGACATTTCACGCAAGCAGAAAAAGTGGAATGATCAGAAAAAAGGAAAAGAGCGCATGGCGCGGCGCACAGTTGGCACAGTTACACTTGATCAATCCGTTCTGGCCGCGGCCATGGGTGCTACGTCGTTGTAATGGGCTATAGGAGAGGAGGAAAGGAACGAAAAGAGAAGTGCGGCAAAAGGTGAAAGATTTGCCATCCTCGCATTCCGCAGCGTATATATATATATATATATGATTCTCTGTCTGGCAGCTCCTACTTGGGTGCCATGGCGCAGTAACGTACTCATGTGTTAAGCGTTTCACTGCATGGCGCTTGGTTGTTACCTGCATACATGTCTCTCTCTATTTCTTTTTAGTTGTCTTTAGGTGTGCGTTGATTTCTGAATATTTTTCTGCACTACATCGAGTTTTTTTTTGTTTAAATTTGTAGTATTGGGCAGCTATTATTATTACTCATTTGGAATGCAGCGCTTTACTGCGGGTCATCTTCTCCCAGTATCTGCCGCTCTGGTGTTTTCACGCCGTGCCGCCAGCCACGACGAAATTGGTGATAAGAAGCGGAAGGTGAACCTTGACGACGATGATCGCTGGCTTGAGGCGGAGTTCGACGAGAAAAATCGGACCCCAGAGGAGCGGTACGCTCATGAGCGGCAGCGTGAACTGCTAAAGTCTATCCTTCGCAAGGTGGACGAAAAGCATCACGCAAAACATAATAAGCTTCACTCGAAAGTGGAAGACCATCATGAAGAAATAGAAAAAATTAAGAGTCAAATGAACGCATTGGAGATGAAGCTGAAGGAACTTAGCCAAGACAAGTGAGGTGCGGCGTGTGTGCACCAGGGTTTTATCTGAGTGTGTAGGGAGCCTAGGGAAATGCGGCGTGTGAGCGGGCATTGTATCATACGATTACTGCATCGTTGCCGACCGCTGTGATTTTTTTTTTCTTTTTGTTTTTGTTTATATATTTATATATGCATCTTAGAGGTGATTTTCCCATTTTTATGGAAGGTGGAAAAAAAAAAACGCATTTTTATGGAAGGTGGAAAAAAGAAAAAACAGAGGGGGAAGTGGGTGGGTTGAGGGGGGAAATAAAATTCAAAAAAAAACGAGGGGGAAAAAAAAAGGGGGATGTGGGGGGGGTGATGTAAAATGAATTTTGTTCATTATTTATATGTTTTATTTTTTATTTTAATTTTAATTTTTGTTTTTTATGTTCATGTCATGACGCACTCGTTATCAGCCCCTTCTTTGCCTTCAAGAGTGTGTGGGGGTTTCCCGTGTGTATTGCCGTGGTTACGACGTCATTGTCGATTTACAATCAGGAGTGTGGAGGGAGACGACAGCGATGTTGGCGCACCTCAATAAAATACATTACGTGACTACCACCCTGTTTCTTTGCCTTATGTTCGGTGGCTCACACCTTTTAAGTTGTTTCGTACTACGTGACACCAAACCTACATGTGCTTTGAGGCATGCAGGGCGAGAGAAGCGTGGCGTTATATGTATATAACGAGGGACAAAAATGTGGGCTGCGCGAAATTTAGTTTGCTTATTTTGGTAAGAGGGGAGGGGAGGGATGTGAGTTTATAACATTTTTTAGTCTTTTATTTGTTGTTGTTGTTTTGCTTTGTTTTTGCGAGACGCCTGTGTCACCATGGGCACCGTGGGAGATGGAAGAGCCACCTCCGTTGTTAGTAAAGCCTATCTTGCATGTGACTGACTGCTATTAGTGTTTTTTTTTTAAAAAAAAATAGGAAAAACAAGAAAAGAAAATTGTCTATTAGGAACTCTCTTTGAAGGTAATAGTGGATGGGGATTTAGGCGCTGATAGGAATATGGAGAAAAAAGTGATGGCTGTGATTTCACTGAGATTCAGGTGTTGCACCGGCAGGTATATATATATATATATATATATATATATATACGTCTGTGTGTGTGTGTGTGTGTGTC